ACACTTCACCGGCGTCGAGCCGGGTTTGATCCGAACCTTCAATGGCTCGACCTTGACTGACGAATCGTCACGCATGTCTTCACGGAACACATTTGACCAATAAGTTGTGCAGCCGTGTCGCTTCAGCGGCGCAAGCCAGCCTCGGCTGCCTTGACCGTCAGAATGGCTTGAACGGCGCCCTGCTTCGTGTGGCGGCGCTCCGCTTCGTCCTCGGCGGAGGTTTTGGGATAAACATCCGGAGTAGCACACTCCATCCCTTCGTCAGGGTCAAGCTCCGGCGGATTCAACTTCTCCGCCATCAGGCGCTTGACATTCGCCATGCCGGACAGTTCATTCGTCGGCACGGATGAAATGTCCCATTCTTCCTTCTTCCTTGCTCCCACAAGGAGGTTTTCAACGCGGAAGCCCAGTAACTCCATGACTGGGCGACTCACGATGCGTTCGGTAGCAGTCGACGCGTCGTCGACCCAGGCCTTCAGACTGCGCAACACAAGCAGTCCACACGTCGTGTCCAGCGTCTCGCAGTTGAACTTGACGCTGCTCGTCATAACAGCTGGCTTGGCGTCACTGCCATACGGGTACGCCAAATGCGGCACGCTATGGGAGACGGTCCCAACTTTGACACCGGCCGCGTCCAACCCATCCATGACTCCGCGCGTGACAACGGTCACGTCCGAACCAGAGTCCAAGAGCACATCGTCCACGAGGACGATATTCTCCAAGAGCACGCCGCGCTCTGTCTTCTGTCGATGCGGCAGGTTGACCAGCACCTTGATGCCGTCCTTCCAGCGCTTGACTTGCGCTGCCAACTCACCGCGCCACACGGTGACTCAGTTCACTGCACTTCAAGCAGCCCTTCTTCGCAGAGGGCTCGGCATTCTTGGGCACGATCGTTTCTGCCTTTCCGCCGACTCTGCCATTGTTCTTGGCGGCTTCCTCTCGGCCGCTGTCACCTTTTGGCACATGAGGCTTGCCGCCTCGTGGAGCTTCTACCGTCTTCGCTGCCGGGGAAGTTTTGGACTCGTCGTCGAGTCCCACGAACAGCTGGTCACCAGCTGCAAATGTTCGCAGCGACTCCTCGATCCGGTCACGCGACCGCGGTCGTTCTTCGGCGTATGTTGGCGTTTTGCTCGTCGGAGGAATGCTCTCGTACCATCTCCAATGAATAGCTCAACAATGAACTAAAGATATCTTTGTTTAGTCTTCCGCTTCTTCTTGGCTTTCGGCCACGGGACCTTCGTCAAGGTAGCAAATATAACACACACTGACATTAGTGGGGTTAAACACGCCACGAGGCGCCTACTGACTACCATTCATTAAAGTACTCAGTACCTCCACTAAGGTATCGGAACCTTTGACACGACACACACACAGAGTGTGTGTGTTTGCAATGGGTCAAGCTAACGCGCGACCCAATTGCTCTGCACGTTGAAGAACAAGTGCAAACCTACATGTATTAATACTCCAGTGCCGTAGTTCATTGATACTTGTCAAGTTGTGCATTCTGCCAACCCTCTGTCTCCTCTCTTTCACTCACGTCTGCTCTAGTCTATCCGTCTCAGTCTCCTACCCATCATGGGCGCATAAAACACTCACAAAACGGACAGTGACTCTCAAGATCTGGCCTATCACAACCCACCACGTTGTACATCTATCCAATCACATCTCATCACGTCCCCGAATATAGACCAGTAGTTAAACGGGCTTTGAACTCCCACCTCTAATCTCACTTCTGGTTTTACCGCCTCTTACACAAGTGATCTGTTCCGTTGCTTGACAACCCCGGAACACCTGCGCCAGTGCTTCTTTCTTCTCTGCCATCCGTCTACTCGTTCAGCCCTTCCACCTCGATCGCACCCTACTCTGGAGCCATCCTTGACGTCAGCCCTCAATCGTTCGCTGCCTGGAAGCCGCAATTCGAGAACCATGCTAGCAGCATTGGGATCACGCGGTACTACTTGGATTCAGCCTACGTTCCTCCTACCCTCAAGAGCGATGCCTACGCTAAAGGCAAGGAAGCCTCGTCCCCATGTTCCTACCAACATCTTCAAAAAATATGGTGGCCACAAGTCGACTTCTTCACGTGCCATTCAAGACGACCATGCTCAACATCACGGAGCTTCCCGTCGTCGTGACGACGACGATAACAACGACCGCGGTCGTGGCCGCTCACCCAAACGCACTCGTTATCCTCCGCGAGACCGCAGTCAGCCGGCCCGCATATCAACAACCGATCAATCTCGGCGCAACCAAGACACCAACAATCGAAGTACTCGCGATAACAGCCAACGCCGCGCCTCTGCGGATGGCCATGCATCACGTGCCACCGTCTCAGTCTCCACCAGGCTCCGTCTCCACCTTCTCCTGCTCCGTCTCCCTTGCATCCATCTCCTGCTCTTCTTCCATCCCCTGCCCCAGCTGCATCTCGGCCACCCCACTCCATGCATTCTACGGGTCAATCCCGCATCAATCCCCCCTCGTCAAAACCACTTCTACCATCCAATGCTACTTGGGCCTCCCCATATCACACTTCCAACACTGCTCTCACAACCGCGACACATTCACTGCCCCTGTCGTCTACGACAACCATTCCTTCCTCAACCAAGCCGCCTCCCAACTCAACCAAGCCGCCTCCCAACTCTACTTCCTCTCCCCATCTACCGCAGTCTTAGTCCGCGCGCCGTTCTCCTCATCCTCGCTCAGCGAACACGTCCACAACGCACATCAATCAACTCTTCACCCAAGCCATGTCCTAAATCTATTTCGTCTCAGCCCAGTCATTCTCGGACAACTCCTGCTCGCTTACCTACTCCTTCTCCTTCTACCTCCGTCGCTTCCCAACCTCCGTCTTCGTCTTCTACGACGTCTCACCCTACTACTCGTGCCACCTCCCCTTTGTCAGTCCACATCAACGCCAACAGTATTCCCAACACTCGTCCTGCCCACGTCTCAAAACGCTTGTGGAAGAAAATGAACTCCTCCGTCGGCATCTCCTGGCACATCCCTTCCCCCTCTGACAACGACTCCGATGAACCACTTGCTCCACCCCCCCCTCGGCAAGGCCGAATCGTCTGGCGATGAAGATCGTGCTTTCGAAGAAAATGAAGGCTCCTTCTGCCACCCTACTGTCCAACACATGCACGTTGGTCGCCAAGGCTTTCCGCCAACATGTCTACGACAAGTCCAATAACTACCACATCAACCCCCTCAAACCACCCAAAACTCACTACCGCATCCGCGCACCTCGTGCACCCTGGGCTCAAGACAATACTCGCACTTCACCACAGGACACTGCGGAAGTATTCTTTGACCCTACCGCACCTCCGGTGGCCAAGCTAGCTGACGCATGGAGAGCTGGACTTGTCCCGACTCACGATCACTTCACCTTTCACGTCGGTCTTGTTGACTCGTCTTTCAGTCTCAAAGTCTCTTACGATGAATCGTCTGCTCCTACCGTCTACAAGTCTGACTCTTGTCCTCAACTCTCTCACGACTGGATCATCGACTCGGGTGCCACTGCCTCTTGCACGCCTCACAAGTCCTACTTCCGCCTGTCCAAGTTCCGCTCGTGCTCTATGAACCAAAGGGCAAGGAGAGGAAGTGGGGTTCGGAGTAATGGTCGGGACCCTTGGTGATGTTGCGCGATAAAACGGTTAAGTCCACTGGGCCGTATCCGAGAATGGGAAGTTGACCACTGTCCTAACCTCAAGTTCAACCTCCTCTCCGTGCGCCACGCAGTCTCCTCCGGATATCAGGTGAAATTCGACCACCCTGAGCACTGTCTGTTCATCCTAGACAAAACCTACTACTGTACTTTCGTGCCGCTGTGAACATCTTGGGACTCTACTCCTTCTCGGCCACAGGAGTACCCCCTGGCTCCCCGCTCCCACCTCGTGACACTCTCACAACCCGGACCATGTTTGACGGTTTCAAAGCCTTCCTCATGGCGAACCCAGTCAGTCCACCCCTACCATCCCATCCACCGTCTCTAAACAGCACAGCCTTCACGTCGTCTGCTCATTTCCCTTCTCACCTCCAAGCCCTCAATGCGTTCCCAACGACGCTCCCGCCGTCCACGCTTGTAATTGATCAATTGCACATCATATTTTATCCTGGCGTATTATGCTACGCTCCAATATTTCTGCCTCCGTCTTCTCCTCTGTATTCGTCTACCAACGCATCCTATTCCCAAATTGACCCCCTCATCACTCCCGCCTCGTCTTCTCCACCCCCACCCTCCTCCTACGGCTCCCTACTTACCCAAATCCTCGGCTCTCCATCAACTACCCATCTCCTCGATCCTACTCTCTCCATCCTTCCCGAATGCGCCCTTACCCTAGTTCGCGACTCTCGTCTGCCCAACGATTTCCTTCTTCGACGATGGCACGAACGTCTTGGCCATCCCAGTGCCGCCGTCTTCCGCTCTCTCGTTGCCGACCACCCCGAACTCTCCGGTTATCGCACACGGAACTTCAAACCCTTCGACTGCGATGTCTGTGAGTACGCGAAGTCGCGCCGAAAATTCTTCTCCTCCGAGGCCGTCTTCCGCGCCAACACCTACCTCACTCTCGTACACTCCGACATATGGGGCCCATGCCCTGTTCAGTCCATTGGCGGCTCTTCCTACTTCGTCATTTTTGTTGACGATTTCTCGCGTTTTACGTGGATCTACCCCATTGCCAAACGACAAGACCTTTACTTAGTCTACGATAGATTCCGTCTGCATGCTACGTCTATCTTCAAACGTGATATCGACAGAATTCGCTACGCGGCACCGTCCGACATCGGCAACCTCCAAGCGGACAATGCGAAGGAATTCGAAAAGCTTGCCCGCCTCGTGCTCGCCAAGTACCACACCAAAACTACGTTCAGCAACGCCTACTCTCCATCTGAAAACGCAGTCGCTGAGCGCCACATCGGCATCATAGTAATGAAAACCCGCGCCCTCCTACTTGCCGACGACCTCCCGAAGTTCCTCTGGGCCGAAGCTGCCGTCTACGCTGCCTGGCTCTACAACGTCACTCCGTCTACAGCCAATCACGGCAAATCCCCCTATTGCTGCGTCTACTCTCGCCATCCACCCCTTGGCGTCATCAAGACATTCGGCTGTACAGCATTTGTCCACATCCAAAAAGCCGTTCAAATCAACAAGTTGGATCCCCGTGCTCTCAAGACCATGTTCATTGGACTCCCAGATGACCGAAAGGGATACAAACTCCTCAACCTTCACTCCCATGCACTCGTCTACTCTCGCGATGTTACTTTTTGGGAAGATAAATACCCGGCCATCAACACCCTCGAAGCCGCTGCCCTACACCGTCATCAAGCAATCGATCCGGCATATCGCCCACAACTTCATCCCAACGCACCACTTCCACCTTTCACTCCATGCTTGATGTTCCATACTCGCTCCTCTCCTTCCCCACCTCTGACTCAGTCTGCCCTACACCTCTTTCCCTCTACACTGCCATGGACTTGGCTCTGCCCTTCGTCTCCCCCCTGCATCATGCACCAACTCACTCCCTCCCCCACCATTCTCTGCGCACTAGCCCCAACTATCCCTCTGCGGGTTTCGCACTCGAACTCTCAACATTCTTCTCTGACGTCTGCTGCACCGATTACTATGACGTCCACTCGATCCCCGTTCCCCCCACGTTACCTTTTCACCTCCTGCCACCGTCTCGTACGCTCACTCCACTAAACCCATCCGTCTTTCCTCCCACCTTCACCTACGCCCTCCTTGGGGCTAAAGTTCCCACTGGTGACCCTTTGACCTGGAACGAAGCGATGCGCCGCCCCGATCGCGATCAATGGCTCGCAGCAGCACAAGCCGAATTCAACTCCCTCCCAGCCAACAAAACCTACGAACTCGTTCCTCGACGCTCCTCACCTTCACGCCCACTCACCTGCCGATGGGTCTTCCGCGTCAAACCCAACGGCACCTACAAGGCCCGTCTCGTTGTCAAAGGCTACCTCCAACAACATGGTGTTGACTGCGATGAAATTTTTGCCCCTGTTGTTCGTCTTGAGGTCTTACGCTATCTGTTCACCCTCATGGTTGTCTACGATTTCGAATGCCATCAAATGGATGTCGACACCGCTTTCCTCAACGGTGCCATCGATCGCCCTATTTACATGGATCAACCCCCCGGTGACCTCGTCGACCCTACGTCTCGCCGCGATTACGTCTGCCTTCTCAAACGCAGTCTCTACGGTCTAAAGCAAGCACCCTACCTCTGGTATCTCACCTTCGTCGAGTTCATGACGTCTCAACACTTCACCCGTCTACACAAAGACCGCTGTGTCTTCACCAAAACCACAGCCACGTCGTTCATTATCATCAGCCTCTACGTCGACGACCTCCTCATCTTCGCGCCGACCCTCGACCTCGTCAACACCATGAAGTCTGCTCTGTCTGCTCGGTTCTCCATGAAAGACCTCGGCCCCGTCTCCGACATCCTTGGCTGGCAAGTCGTCCGTTATCGCGCCGAACTCTCCGTCTTCCTGCATCAAACTCGTTACACCGAAACAATTCTTGAACGTTTTGGCATGACCGACGCCAACCCTGCCACCACTCCATCTCGCCCAGGAGTCGATCTATCTACTTCTCAAGGCGCTGATTCACCCGAGGACAAAGTCTTCATGGCCACTCACAACTATCGTTCTGTTGTCGGCAGTCTCATGTACCTTGCCATGGGTACTCGCCCCGACCTCGCCTACACTCTACAACAACTCAGCCAATTTCTTCCAAACCCCGGACGTGATCATTGGACCGCAGCCAACCGCGCCCTACGCTATCTCGTCAGCTCAGTCTCTCACGGTATCCGTCTTGGTGGCGTCTCCGCAACCACATCCTCCCCTTTTCTCTCTGCCTACGTCGATGCCAACTACGCCATTGTGTATCGACACTCGCAGATGCGTCAGCGGCTTTCTTACCCTTCTTTTCGGATCCCCAGTGTCTTGGCTTGCCAAGAAACAGTCTCTCGTCACTCTCTCCACCACTGAGGCCGAATTCGTAGCTCTCGCTCTTTGCATTCAGGGGCTGCTCTATCTCCGTCAACTTGGTGGCGAACTTAGTCAAACGTCTGCCCAACCAATCGTCATCCACGAGGACAACCAATCTACCATTAAAATCGCAACCAACGCCGAACTACATGGCCGCTCCAAACACATCGACGTACGCTTCATGTTCGACGTACGCTTCATGTTTGTCCGAGATCTCATCGACAGCGGCGAATTTGAACTCAAGTGGTGCCCGACCGCCAACCAACTCGCCGACTTCTTTACCAAGGCACACTCTGCCCCAGTCTTCCAATCCCTCCGTGAACGACTGTCCATCGTCTCCCTTGCGTCGTCTCACCCAGTTCGAGTCTAAAATTCTAAACAGAACCGTCTTCGCCACCGTCTAACTACCTACTCGTGCTTACCTTTGTCGTCTGCGCA